CACCCCAATTTTTTTCAGCTTTTGGGTTTCTTCCTTTAAAAATAAAGTATACACAGCACACAAAAATTTCTAGCAAATGTTAAATGTTGGAGAACAGCATTAGAGAACAGCTCAGAAACAGGAAGCCAGAAAAGCAAATGTTCATCCAAAAATGAAGAATTTCTGGTTAGCTGGGGTAATTCCCTATTCTCAAACAACAGATAGTAATTCCATTTAAGCCCAGGAGCCTGTCACATGCACAATGGTTCAGATGACAACACTGATCATAGGCCAGGTCATTCCCTTCCCCAGGGCACTTACTGGCAGTCTTATCATGGGTTCCAAAACCATCCTATCGGAAGGTGTTGGGACTTATCGCCATGTTAAAGGTCGCTCCCACACCTGGTGCTTCTGGCCTTGCCTTGAGATATGAGGAACATCTGTACAGATAAGGCGCTGTGCCTCTCAATCCCACATGTAGTGAATGTCCCTGCACTGGCTCTGGTGCTGTCATTATTTCCAAACAGCAGCTCTAGGAAAGATGAACTGGAGAGAAAACAAGCTACATAAAAGCAAATACATTTTTTTTGGAGGGGTGGGGGCACGTTAAACTGGTTTGGGTAATTTCCATGTGAAGAGACAAAACCCTACCCAGTGCCTGCTCCAAATCCTTACTCTAACCCTTCCTGCATGTGGACTCAGACTACTGAAAAAGCACCCTATCAGGTCTGAGGACTCGGATTGGTGTTAAGTAACCCTGCATGAAAGAAGGTTGGGCTTGGTTGTTTTTCCTCAGCCTGTAAATGGCTAGCACTTGAACTGACCATCACCTTCCATCATATTTCTCAAATGTGCACACAATGGAATAGTGTGATATCAACAAACCATAATGCAAGGAGAAGCATACTCTGGGGAGATTGCTGGGGTTATTGTTTACAGAGCAACAGCTGTTAAGCAATGGTTACTGCTGAGTCAAAATGTTTAAAACGGGATCCTCAGCTCATGCAAATTGATGCAGCACCCACAGAGTCAGTGGAGCTGTGTCAATTTACACTGGCTGTGCTAAAACACACAGCTCTTATGCAGTCTTCAATACAAAGTTATTACAAGACCTTATTTGAAGCTACCTGTTAATCTAGGAACAAGATTATGCTGTGATATTTAACCTTCATCAGATATTGAGATAGCAGCTTTCAGAATCCATATCACTGTTTCTCAAACTATTCAGTTAGCCAGAATGGTCAAGACTTCAAGCATGCAAGGAACTTACAATGTCTGATAAAATCAGCACATCAAAGCCCCTGCCAGCATTAAGCACAACTTTTCTTAGAAAATCAAATAGCCATGAAAGAACAAGGAAGTCTTTATGCAATAGTAGACAATTGCAGCTATCCAACAAGAGGTGGGGAGCTGGGACCGTGGGTGGGGGTGCGGTAGCCCTCTAGGGTGCCTGGGACCCTGGGTGGGGGGACTGGGGCCCTGTGGGGGATAGGGGCTGTAGCTCTCCAGGGGAGAGCT